GGAATTACTTGCCGTGATGAGTTTTTCTTTATGGAAAAAATGTTTCTTGACTGGTTCTTCAAAGCTGGTCTGCAGGGGCCACCTGAATGGCATGTCTGAGTACCCAGCTGGGTGATTACAGCTTTTATTTGCTCAGCAAATTCTCACTCAGTGCAAAAAGCTCGAATGAAGCCGTTGATAAAGTAATGTGTCTCTCCTGACGGCAGGGAAATCCGGAGACATCTCACTCTGATCTCTGTCCTTATCAGACCGGCTGGCAAGGAGAGCTCTGCAGCCAAAGGTGCAGGGCAGCAGCAGATCTTCACTACCACCTCTAAGCTGCTGGCATGGGGAGAGCCCAGTTGTACTTTGTCAGATGTGAACACCTTTCCCATAAAGTCCTAACAGGATGTGTTAGAGCTGGCAGTGAAATGGGTCACGCCGAGGTCTCGGCTGCAGGAGCGGCCCTGGAGCTGCAGCGTGCTTGTGGTTCTGCAGAGCAGCGGCCACGAATCAGTCTCAAAACCACCTCTCTGTGTTCAGCTGATGCTGAACCCAGATACGTGTCCTCCTCCAAGTGGTGGCTGGGACATCCACCTATGGCACCAGCACAGGCGCTTCTGCCCTGCCCGCTGCACCCACGCTGTGCACGATGCAAAGCGAGACTGGGCTGGGCTGAGGGGGACTCTTGTTTAGACCAAAGACCATTTTCTGTTCAGAGTGCTATGATATGGAACCCAGCACCCGCCGAATCCTGGCCACTGAAAACCCAGGCTCCACGCATGATGTTGGAGGGACAGATCCTTCGTGTTTGCCGCTCACGGAGGAGAGGGGCACGGCGCTGCTGCTGGGAAACAAAACTGCCAGGAGCCTTTGGGAAAAACAGTTTAATTGCCTAGCAAGGCTGGTGAGAAAGATGCAAAGATAAAATTACCATTTTTAATTTTTTTAGCTAAGAGATTTGCTGATGCTTTCCACAGCGCAAAATGTGTAAGCTGGCCATGGTTGAGTGGAGATTATTTGGAAAGATTTTTAAGAGGTTATGTGCTGCATTAATAAGAAGCTACGGGAGGAGGCTCGTACAACCGTGGGAAGGGAGGTTTTTATTTTGTTCTTTGCAAATTTACATTGAATTGCTCAGGGGAGAGGAAGAAGCTTTGGGAAAACAAATTCCAGTTGTTTCATTTTCCTGCTCCCAAAATATATGTGCAGGGTTTCAAAGCCGTGTTTCCTTTTAGAGATTTACCCCAAGCTTGCTGACACTGACCGTATTGCACCTCAGAGGTTTTCACTGTGACAGCACTACATTTAGACAAGGACAGAAACAGAGTATGAAATTGTGTCCTTGTGTGGGACAAGGCTGAAAGTATAGAGCGATGTGTGGTGGGTCCTGTTCTTGAACAACCTGGGAGGACATCTCAGGAGGGAGCTTCATACAGGTGCAATGAAATTACAACCTAAGCATCATTAAGATGGGCAGTTTTCTTCCTGTTTTAATGAGGCATTTGTTTGAAAGAAGAATCAGGAAAGAAGGTAGAAACCCCCCTTGGTTTTGTTGATGCATCAGAAGTGATGTTTGAGGGAGTGTGAAGAAGAAAAACAGTATGAACCATGCTTTTGAGTCAGAGGACCAGGGAAGGTATCTTTTCTGCTGAGAGGAGATTTAGTATTGTTCATGGACCTGGGTAAATACAATTTGACTTATGCTATGCCTGCACAAACTTGTAGGGCAAAGGCAGGGAGAGAGGGAAGAAGGATCCTCTGCCAGATTGCTCTGGGTGAAGCCAGATGTGGAGGGATGTGGCTTCCTCCACTGGATGAGAAATTTTCTCTCCTAGGGAAACTCCCCAAATCCTCAGATCGTGCCTATGTGAAACCACTAGTTAGGCAATAAGGAAGAATGTGGGGAGAGCTAGATGGCACGTTGCTCCACTGTAGCTGTCACCCTTGATGTCAGCCAAGGGAGTCTCTTCTTATCACCCCTGGCTGCCTGTTAAGCATGACAGTAATGTTTAAACTCTAGCTGTTTTTTATTTTTGAAATGGTCAAACGGCTTCCAACTTGCTTCTGCTTTGCAGGTGTTCCCTTCCCCAAGCAGTTCCAGCAAGTTTGCACTAAGATCCTCACCCGCCTCTTCCGTGTCTTTGTCCATGTCTACATCCACCACTTTGACAGCATCATCAACATGGGTGCTGAGGCTCACGTCAACACCTGCTACAAGCACTTTTACTACTTCATCAGGGAGTTCAGCCTCGTCGACCATCGGGAGCTGGAGCCTTTGGTAAGGATGCACCAGGGATGGGGAGGCAGAAGGGGTGAGAGTGGCGTGGGCTGAAGGCATCACTGGTAGATTCAGGTGGGGGCTGGATTCTGAGCAGTGCAGTCACTCTCTCTGGACTCTTTCAGCCATTCAACCTCAGAAGCACGCCTGTGTTTTCTGCCTTGGAACCATCAGCCTTAGTGCTCTGAGAGAGAACTTCCCAGCAACACTGAAGAAATCCCTGACCCTTTGAAAACCCTCCTTAAACCTTTCCTCTGTTGCAATGTGTATGAGTCGCTCTTCAGTATCCTCAGGGCCACGGTGACACAGTGTCCCTCTAAACTGTCTTGGTAGCTCTAAGGCAATTTGCACATCAAAGTGTTGCCAGCCAGTTCTGTCCACATGGTCTTCAGGGGTTAGATTTGAGCCCAAGTCTCCTCTCTACAGTCTTGAGTTTTCCCATCAGGGGACTAAAATCCCTGCTTGAGATCCTAGTGTGAATTGCAATGAGGCTGGAGGAAGGCAAGCCCCAATATGACACGCAGCTCCAGACATACAGCTATAGAGGCCAGGCTGGAGAGGCCTTGCTGGAGCTCCAAGTTTCTCTGTAGCTTCCCTTGGGGAGCAATTAGCCAGGCAGAGAGTGAGAGTCCTTTAAAACAGCAGGGCTGGTGGGAAGAAGAGGCCAGACGGCTTGGGTACATAAACTGAAAAACACACGTAGCTGGTTTTGTAAGACAAGCCAGCGTGTCACAGGCAAGGTTCAGTGTGGTCTGACCTAGGGAGGACATGATGCAATGGGAAGAAGAATTAATAGGGAACCCAGTAGTTAGCACGCTGTGATAACGGCTGGGTTGCAGAAAAGGACATCTCCAGCAGCAGAGAGCCAGGGAAGACCAAGAGGATCTAATCCCAGAGAGAGAAAGAGCTGAGAAAAGTCCCAGCATGAGCTGCCTGTTTAGGAGCATCCGGGGAGGGGTGGTGGTGGGGAAATGCCCCTGCCCCTACGTGCAAACTGCGTTACTCCTTCTCTACTTTCGTCTCAGTCAATTTGCTGCCTGTCTGCCCTGATCGTGATCTGGGGAGACGGGCAGATGATGATCTCATCAGGGGAGACATGGATCACAACAGCATCTACATTAATTATTTTGTAGAGTTTGATTATGACCTATATTATCACAGCAGCCCTCAGCTCCACAAAATGGCAGCTCAGCGTCACTCTGTCCTCTGTTAGTCTTCCTCACCACCATTCCTCATGACAAACTTCTTTAGCATTGATCTACAGCCCATAATGGTGTCATCTCCTTCGACTGATGCTTGCTAATGTAAATAATTAGCACCTAATAGCCAAAGCAGAGGCTGACATTGCTAAATAGGCTTTCAATGCCAGTGACTCACATGCAACATGAGATGATTTATGGGTCTGGAGGAATCTAAGATGAACAGGTTTTCCTGTGTGATGCAACCAGGGTTAAACTACAAGGAAATGAGACACATTTCCCTCTGGTCTATCTGTGTCTCATTTGTTGGTGTGCCCACTGCCTGCCATCCAAGCCATAAAGTAGACCCAAACACCTGGGAGACCTCCTTCCCCTGGGCAATGACTTGCTGTAGGTGTGTATGAGAGTGTCCTGCAACCACAGGGCAGCAGCCTCCTGGATGCAATGCTGAGTTGGGCAGGGAGGGACAAGTTGCCGCAGCAACTTATGAACTTACGAACCACTTTCAGTTTTTGAAAGTTATCCTTCTGGCCATGCTGTTACCCCGGAGAAGCTGTAACTTGGCACTGTCATCACTCCCAAAGTATGTACGGGTTAGGATTGAGCCAGTAGCTTCCAACAGCATTTCTCTGCTGCAGGCAGGGAAAGCAATAATGGGAAGTTTCTTCATGTGCATCCCAGAGGCTTTCCAATGAGCCCCTGGGAGCCTGCTGTGGCTCTGGTTCATTGTGCTGTGGAGCATGCAGGGTGCCCAGCGTTCATGGTGTGCTCGCTTTACTTCAGCAGCAGTTGTGAAGATGCACAAATAGTAACATCCAACCTCTGCAGCACTTTACACTCAACCTCAGTCCACTTTCCTGTGGCTAATTACTCTCCCCAGCCCAGGGTAGAGCACCAGTGATTTGCTTTGCTCGTTCTTCTCACTGGGCTTCTCACCATAGCTATTGCTCTGCTTCTAGATGTTTTTAAGTCCTGAGGGATTCATCAGCTGGTTTGATGCTTAAGCAAGGACAGACAGTGCATTGCATTTGCCTTCATTTTAGGCTAAGACTGCAGGGATTAGTTTTTGCACATTCTCAAGGTTTGTGGAAAGATGATAATCTCTCAGTAGGGATAAGATGAACTGTCCTTGAGAGGTTCAGTCTCTCTGGACTGCCTCATGAGCCCAAACAACTCTCCTAACCTTGCATTTCGATGGCCAGAGTTAGTCCACATGAATCCCATGACAGAGGAGATTCTTGCCTGCAGAGGTGCCTGTTCCCTGCACGTGACTATGGGAGGCCACCAAGAATGTGGAGGGAGCACATCTGGGGCAAGACAGCAGGTCTGAGTGCTGTTATGGCTGGAGCTTTCCAGAGGTGGGCTTTGTACTGAGGAGCCCCAAGTGTGAGATTTAGGAGTAAGAAAGAAAAAAACAGCAGCTCCCCAGCCAGAAAATGTCCTGTTAGGCCCATATATCTTAGAAACGGGGATTGTGGGACGAAGGAGTTCTTGGTTTCTAAGCCTGCCTCTGGCTGAATCTCCCTTTTCTGCCTGTTTCCCTTTTGTCAAACTTCTTTGGGAAGTGATTCCTTAGCAGCAAATCTTGGGAGCCGGGAACTGGACAGATCCTTTGTACAGGCAGATCTAGTAACAGGCAGCGATGCACTCTCTTTAACAAATCAAGAAATGTGGGTGTGGAGAGGAGCCGTGCACTTGTTTCCTTGACAAGGGCAGGTCATGGTGCTGGGTAGCAGCACTGGCAGAGGTCCAGCTGGTTACGTATGGAGGAAGAGCTGTGGGGATTTCCAGAGTGTGATGAATGCCTTGGACATTTGGGGTCAGCCTGAGGAGCTCCCGGGCGGCTTGTCAGTCCACTGGCTGCCCCAACATATCCTGTTCAAGGTTGCTCTTGTGCGTGGTGCTGTGCTAGTGGGGTGGGCTGGATGCTGTTGCAAGAGGATGTTCACAGTCTTCTCACCCCTCTCTTTCTTTCTCCTTCCGAGATGTTTGCAAACACTTCCCGTTTGCTACGTGACTTTGTGGCAGAGCATCAGCTTTTCATTTGATGGCAGGGTTCTGCGCTCAAGTGATTTTGCATGTTACTCCTACAGAGAAGCCCCCTCTTTGCCACTCTCCCCCGACGGATTTTAAAAACAAAGCTCTCCACTCTGAAAAGCTGAGGTTGCAGCTTCTGTCCCCCTTGGTTATATCATTAAAAGGTCTTTCATAGGGTTGCTCAAGGGTCATGCGACTTTCCTAGTTCTCCTTTTTTCAGAGTTGCATCCTTCCTTCTCTGCAGATCGGTCCTACTTCAGATCTATTTCGGGAGTACACTTTAACGTGCAAACCCTTCTCTGAGGTGCGTGAGGAGGTCTGCGTGCACACGCAGATTCACGAGCCATGAACCTGATGAGCCAGAGGGAATAACAGACTTCCCTGCTGCAGCAATGTACATGACTTGCAAGCCATTACTTGAGCTCCTTAAGGCAAGGACAAATACCACCTTCCACCAGCTGAAAGCTGGGCACGCTCCTAATGCAGCTGCTGGCATGATGCCATCCTGGCTAGGGAAAACAGTCTCTTAGCCTAAACAGAGCTCACTCTTGCAGCAGGTTTCCCGTGGCCCTCTGTTATTAGCACTCATTTGCGTTGCAGTGTGACTGTGGGATCTCTTGCCAAAACCACAGGTCCTTTGGGTCAGCTGTTGTCACCTCCCAGAATGAGAGCTGGGAGCAGCTCCACATCCCATCTCTCAAGGCAGCTGCAAATGGAAGGTCTGAGCTCAGCACCGCCTTGTCTGGCTGCTCCGTGGCTGAGTCAGGAGCAGGATCTGCATCTTGCCACATCTCCGCCAGTGCTTATTCCTTGGACTGCTCTCAAAGCTAGGGCACAGCCAAAATAACCTTGTGCCATGGAGACCGAGGAGGATGCCAGGAAGGAGGTGTCGGTTCCCAGGAGGGCTGGCACGGGACATAGAGACACGCTCCCCGAGACTCCCACGGTCGCTTCCTTGAGTTGTTTTTGGACACCAACAAAACTGCCTGACGTGTCACTCTACTAAAACCTGACTTTTGCACTTACTGTTTTTCTTTTCTCTCCCACTTCACTGCAGAAAGAAATGACAGAACGAATTTGCCACTGAAGCATTCTGGCAGGCGAACTCAGCTGGCTCATTTGGAGTCTGATGGGACAAGACACCCTGTGGTGGGAGACCTCTTCCCAAGGGCTAGCTCTGGGCATTTCAACTCAATGAACTATGAACACTGCAGAAGAGCCTCTTCAGGCCAGGGCTGAATCCTAAGCTTGCCAAGCATCTTTGGACAGATATTTTTTTTAATAGATCCTAGTCCCTGTTGCATGGCTCCTGTCTTACTGACTTAACTGGAGAATGAGGCAAGTTTGGTTGACTTTTGCACACTCTGGTTTCCAAGACTTGATCCCATGATAACGTCCCTTCAGCTACCTTTCCTCTTGTTCTGTCCTCAGCTACACTGATCTCCAAATTAGTGATTCCTGCCCTGTGAGCAGGTGTGACCTTGGCTACCGAGTCATGCCTGTTGCCCTTCCCACATGCAGTGGGTTTGTGATAACATCTGAGATCGGCTCTGCAAAGTTGGTGACATTTGATGCCGGCTGCCTTCATGTGGTTAGTTGTTGATGTACTGTTTTTACCCATGAGCTATGAATGTCTCTCCTGCCCTAATTCATGCTTTACCAAAAGGACCATTTTTACCTGCAAGGGATTTTTGACACTTGACAGAGAGGACTTCATGGTGTTCTTAAGACGCATCCAATGCTGCTTGGACTAATGGCAAGGTGGCCCCATGGCAGAGGGAGTGAACTAGGCCACTTTTCAATGTGATCAGCACAGTCTACCCAAGAAAGACTCAGAAAGTGGTGGAAATAAACTGTTGCTAGAAAACAACATTTCCAACATGTCAGCATTTCCTGACATGTTGTCTTGGCTCAAGATCAGCAGTTGCTGGCTGTAGATATTGTTGTTTTTCCATCATCCAACGCTACAACATAGCAAATCAGGTGGAGAAGGACTTTAAGAGATATCTAATCTACCTGTTCTTCCAAAAAGTCAATATCAGCCCTTCTTAAACTTTTTTGACCTTTCGAAAGCATACTATTGCTACCTGGTCTGTGCCATTATTCCCCTGACAGGTATCACATCTCAAAATTTCTTCCCCTTCAGCTTGCAATGCCTGATAACTAGTGTTGTGTTCTCTGTGATATTTTCCTTTTGACAAGAGTTGAAGTATGTTTTTTTTTACTGTTTCGGAGGAGTTAAAATCAAATTGTCTGAGCCACAGCAGTGTTATGCTTGTGTTTCCTGCCCTTTTTCTGGGAAAGTTTTGTATACCAGACACAGCTGATATTTATGATCTGGGGTTTGTCCATTTTTGGGGTAGGGCGGGGATGTGGCTAGAAAATGTAAATATTTAGGCCAACATTAAAGCGCACAAGTGAATTTTTAGTGCTCAAAACACTTATTTTGTTGTAAAAATCTATTTTTGTTAGTCTTGTGTATCAGATGTATATTTTTACACAAAAATAAAACAGAGCAAACTGGACACAAAAACACCTGATACAGCATTCCAATATTTTCTTTGTAAAATAATCAGTAAAAGTCCAAACATTTTTGTTCTGTTACTAATTGAAGAAACATTAATAAGCCTGGTGTACTTCATTCTTCCCTGAATTATCTCTAGTAAGACAGGCATCATGAAAAAGCACCCAGGATAACTTGAAGAGTGTATTTCCCCTGAGAGCTGCAGCACTGCTGGATCTCAATGCCATGTTGAGACCTCAGCTTGCATGTCGGGAATTGGCTCGACATAGGCTAATGCAGCTGCTCTGCATCCTCCCCTTGCCCCTTGAAGACTTTTCACCAGCATCCCACCTGAAGGTGTTTTTCCAGCGATACATTGTGGTGAGTTTTACACACTACTTTTTGCAAAGGTATTTGGTTCCTGGGTCCTGGAATCCATGTTCCAGCCTCTTCATATAAATCGGAACTGCAGGCACAAATTGCTGTGTGGTGCAGAGGCAGGAGATGACAACAGCTCTATTGGGAACCTTCTGCCTTCCTGAGGAGTGAGGCCTGGTTGGACTCAATGCACAGGACCCTCTGGAAGCTGGTAAGGTTGGGACTTATGGAGAAGCTGTCTCAACAGTGGGGTCTAAGGGATGAACTGATAGCAGCCTACAGCTACTTCAAGTGAGGTACAAAGATGACAGAGTCAACCCCTTCTCAACAGTGCAAGACAGTGAGACAGTGGACAACAGCCACAATTTGTGGCTTGGAAGGTTCAAATTAAACAACAGAAAAAAATATCCCAAGAGGGTGGTGCAGCCAGTGAACAGACACCTAGAGAGGAAACACTAACCATCCTCAGTTTAACAAGACTTGGTGTAAATAATGCCTTTGCACAGAAGCCTGCTTATATATTTGTCCTCCACATTGCCCTGCAGCAATGAGCTCCACCAGGTAACTATGCACTACGCAATTCAAAAGGGGAGGGTACTTTGTTTATTTTTTAAACCCATGCCTGAGGATTTCAACCCTCCTGCTTTAGTTTCCTGTTTACCTCCTCACCATGGAGCTCCTCTAGATTCCTGTGGAACAGAAAGAACTATTTCTGAAAGATCAACGAGCAATTTAAAAAAGAATTTCAAAGGTAGGCTTTTTCTTTTTCCTTTCCTTTCCTTTCCCTTTCCCTTTCTTTTTCTGGTTTGCTCAAGGAAACAAAGCTCGTGATTGTGCTGTGAAGACTGCACCTTTAGTAACTCTGGAAGCAATATAGGAAGGGGAGATGGGGAGATCATTCACTGCCAGAAAGGTCTTTTTGTTTCTCTCTGAGACACTGAGCTACTCCCCTGGTCCTCATCCAAGTGCCTCCCAACCTGATGTGTTTAATACCTGAGCACAGCAAAGATGTTTATGGAGCAGAAAGCACTGAGACAATTATCTAAGTCAAACTTCTCCCTTCAGGAGGCTGAAGTGTGCCTATGAGGCTCCAACATCCTCAGAGCCTCAACAAACATCCCTGTGCAATTTGAAAGCCGGCAGGAACCCTGAAATGCATTAAATATGCACATAGCTCTTGTTAGCCCCAGCTCCCCAAATGAGTCATCTGCTCAGCTGGCTGCCAGGTGCCTGGGACTCATTTGTCTCTTTGCAAAATCCCTGGATTCTCCTGATGAAGGCAAGATTTGCTACTGCTGGGATTTTATTTTCCTTCTCTGCAGCCACCCTGTCCTTCAGGACTGAAAAAAAGGCTGTGGTGCCGGTCATCAGCTCACACAGAGGCTGTGCTATGCAATGTGAATGTGTCCTGCCCTCTGCAGGAATTTGGAAATAGCCTTGGATATGGGGAAAGAGAGCTTTGTGGAGCCTAATGGCTCTTGTTGCAGTCCCATAGGGATGGGACATGGAAAAGGTTTGGGCTTGGCCAGTGAAGCATGCTGCCTTCAGCTGTGCAGAGGCAAAGGTCAAGGCTGACCTACCCTGGCAGCAGCCCCACTGGGGGTTTGCTGGTCTGAGTGGCACTCCTGGGTTTAAGCCTGCCCATGCTAAGGCTGGACAGTCCTGGGTAAATGGTCACAATAATCATGACACGATCTGGTCTGAGATATTCCTTCTCTCTTGGTGAAAGCTCCTAAGATGTAAGAGAAAACTTGGAAAGAGAGAAAAAGAAGTCAAAGCGAAACTGTTGGTTCCAAGGATTAAAAATCTGTCCATCCTGGGAGATGATCATGAAGACACTTGGGATCAGAAAGGGATGAGATGGGTTAATAACAGTAAATCCATTCCTTGATCACTTTTCTGGAGGTGGGGAAGATGCTGATTGCAGCAGAGAGTTCCACAACTAAAGGAAAGAGTGTCTCTCTCGTATGTGTGCAGCTTTTACTTTCTGGAGGCTGATGGCTTTGCTAGTGCAGCCTGGTCAACCAGACTCTCTCACACAGGTCAGGGAAGGACAAATGACTCAAGTGTCAAGAAAACCTCAAAGCAAGAGTGTGGCAATCAGCTCCCTGCTGAAAAGAGACCTTGAGTCAGAGCTGAAATACCAGCGGTGTGAGGGACTACTGCATGTCTGCATGGATGAAGAGCATAGCAACAGCAAATGAGGTCTCTTACACAAGAGTGTCTGTTTCTGTAGAGGTGGCTGTGGGGGAAAACAAAAGCACAGTCTACCTGCAAATATCTTGAAGATCTCAGTGCAACAAATGTCATTCAGCTCCAAGGAGGCACTTTACTTTGAGATACTGGGTAATGGCATCTGCTACGGACATCCATAGGGCAGGACTCACTGCCTGTGTAGTCACTCAATGCTGGCCACACTTTGACTGCCTCAGGCTCTCCGGTCTCTTCCAATGTCTGAGCTCACCCAATCTTTCCCCCATCCACACTGGTTCACCACCAGGGCTGGCCCACAGGTTCCTCAGCAGCAACAAGGATAAACTGGGATAGCAGTGTTCAGATGATACCCATTGGATCTGAAGTGAGTCCAGTAGCTTCACAACTGCTGCTTCTTAAAAGTATCTGGCACTTTTCTCCCAAATTGTGTGTTTTGGTCAAAAACTGAAGGAAGTCTGGGACTTTGCAGGAATCCTGCATCGTAGGGCTTCTTTTGCAGAACAGTTTGGTCCAGGTGCTGGCTGTTGGGGTACAGGATTGCTCCACACTCAGCAAGTGGTGGTATGCATTTAACATCTTCCTGCCAGGAACAATAATCATAAGCTGGAGGAAGAGGATCCATATTGTCAAGATTCTTCAACTTGTATGACTCTTCAGCCTGCACTAGAAGGAGAAGCTGGGAGCTGCCATACTGGAACAGACCTCTCCTTTGTCATTTAATTTTATATCCACTGGGCCAGCTACCAATTGTTTTGGGCTATGCCCCAGTGACAGACTGAGGTAAGCATTTTGCCATCTGTTCACGTGACTGTCAGGTGAGCATAGGTAAGAGCTGGCAATCTTGGGGCAACCTGCAGTAGGCATCCTGGGCTGGAGGCCAGGACCTGCACTGCACTTATGGTCTCCCTCTCTTGAGTCTTACTCATCTTGCAGTTTCCCCTTAGTGCCAGGGTTCTCCATGTTTATGTGTGCTGGAGGCAGTAAGATCTGAG